GGGAGGCGGGCAAGGCCGCACAGGGGGGACGGGTCACGCCCCGAGCGCGCTGCCCGCTCCGAAACGGGCTGGGAGCGGCGCCCCGTGCACCGCTGCCTCGGGACGCGCGGCGCCCCGTCTCCCCCTCTTGATGGGACTGTTTCCCCACCAGGGAGAGGGGAGGTGGAGGGCGAGAGGAATATAAGGACGAAGAGGAGAGGAGAGGAGGGAGGAGGAGGAGGAGGAGGAGGAGGAGGAGGAGGAGGAGGAGGAGGAGGAGGAAGAGGAGGAGGAGGAGGAAGGGAGGAGGAGGAGAGGAGGAGGAGGAGGAGAGAGGAGGAGAGAGGAGGGAAGGAGAAATGAGGGAGAGGAGGAAGAGGAGGAGGAGGAGGAGAAGGAGAAGGAGGAGGAGGAGGAGGAGGAAGAGGAGGGAGAGGAGGAGAACGAGGAGGAGGAGGAGGAGGAGGAGGAGGACCCCTTCCCCCTCCTACTTATGGTGGTGATGGTGGAAAACAAGCCCATCACCTCTCGCGTCCCGACAAAACAGTGGGACGCGTTGGTTCCGCACCGTCCTGTGGTGCTTGGGCCCCGGATCTTGAAGAGACATCGCCCCGCGTCTCCACGCCCGCTGCCTCCCTCCCTCCTCCCACTCCCCCGCCTCTTGCCCTCCGCAGGTCCACTGCTGGCGCGCCCCTCAAAACGCTTCGTGGCCCCTGTGAGGGAACTCCACCGAGAGCCCCAGGCGGCGTCTCTCGCGCATGCGCCCCCGCACCCCATGTCGGCACCCCTCACACGCTTCGTGGCCTCATAGGGAGCTCCGCCGAAGGCCCCAGTGGCGTCTCTCGCCACTTCGGTACGCCCCTCAGACAGGGAAAGAAGAGGCAGGCGGAGTGGAGGGTGGAGGAAGGGGAGGAGAAAGAGGAGGCACAGCGTTCCCAGGGGGTCTGTCTGTCTTAGGCCTCGCGGGGCTCCGCGACAAAGAGGAGGAGGAGGAGGACGAGGAGGAGGAGGAGGACCGGTGTAAACCGGGCGCTCCATCGAAGGCGGCCCTCGTAACTCTGCTACTCACCACTGCGTACGTCGCCGCGCGGTCTGTCCTCGACGCGCCCAAACAAATTGACAACGCCGACGCCACGGCAAGCCCAGGGCAAACCTCCTTGCGCTTCGCGCCCCGGGTATAGACGAGGCCAGCACCGCGGCAGACTCCACAGCGAGCCCACCGCGCCCAAGGCGGCGTTTGCCCGAGGTCGGGCATGTCCTCCCACAGGGGGATCTTGGACGAAGAATGAAACAACTGGTCAACAAATGCACACAAATAGTAAAACATCGTCAAAAAAGTCACCGCCAGACTATTTTTGAATTATTTTTGAATTTTCCTCTTGTAGAGGGACGTGCCCGACTTAACCGTTTGCCCTGGTGGCCGCGGCGCCCTCCCCAAGACGCAAGGGCGCACGCCGGAACAACCGGCGCCGCGACACGTGGGGGAGGGATGAACAGAGGGGATGGGATCCTCCTCTTCCTCCTCTTCCTCATCATACCTCCCTTTCCTGCTCCTCCTCCACCTCCTCCTCCTCCACCACCACCTCCTCCTCCTACTCCTCCACCTCCTCCACAACAGGCACTTTGGTTGCCCCTGGCGGCCTCTGGGGCTCTCGCTGAGCCCCTGGGAGCGGTCAGCAGGACATTCGCGGGCGAAAGGCCGATCCCGAAGAGTGCGTCGAGACCTCCGGGGGTCCACGTTGCGACAGAAATAACGACGTCGGTCGGGGGCGGCCAAGAGGGGGGAGTCAAAGAGTGGGGGGCGCAAGTCATGGCCGGCGGCATGTGCGCGGCCCAAGAGGGGGGGCCAGGGACGTATTGAAATAAGAAGAGGCGCCGTGAAATCTGAGGAGATGTCAGGGTCCCCGCCATGATATCCACCCCCCTAGTCATCACCCCCCTTCTGGCCGCCCCGAAAATCACGACGTCGGGCGTTTGAGACGAAGGGAGCCGGGGCGTTGGCGCATATCAGGGCCTGAGGCGCGTGCGCGGACGGGGCGTGGCCAGGGGGCGTGCGGAAAGGCGCAGGATCGGGGAGACGTAAGAAAAGCTTCGGGCTCGGGGGACCCAGGCTGGCCTGGCGGGGCCATCGTGAAAACGACGAGACTCAGTCCGAAACTTGACGCGAGCTCCCGCTGCAGAACAGCGCCGGAAGCCCGAGTTCCGGCGCACTCGAGTCTTACGTTGCCCCGAAGGAAGGGGGCCGTGAAAGCGAGGGACTCCTGGGCCGCGGCCATGGCATCCCGCCCTCCCCCTCGTTGTCACCACCCTGCTTCGCCGCCCCGCGGCGGGACGAGGCGGCTCCAGAAGTTCAGTGGGAGCTCGACCGCAAGGAACCCAACCCTGAGACCCCAGGACGCCCATCGAGTTCTGGTGTTGGAGCGGCACGCTTTCTAGAGCACAGCCATCGAAGCCCAAGAAAGCCAGGGCACCCTGAGGACAAGAAGGGTGTTTCCTGGGCATGGGTTTCCACAGTAGGAAAGTGTTGGAAGCAGATCGGGTTTCCGCCCGCCCCCTGAAGAGGAAGGAAACGGCAAAAGCACCCGATGATCGAAGTAGGAAGGCGCCTGAAGTGGATTGGGATCTGGCAGTCCAAGAATACCTACTTTCAACGACCCGCGTGTACGGCTGGGAGCGATTGCAAAGGACACCCGAGAGGCCACGAGCCCCATCCGGGCAACCCGTGCTCCGGGAACGGGGGGTAACTGAAGCCTGGTAGGCGGGACACAAGGCACCGCTCATGCTGCACTGCAGGGCAAGAAGCGCCTTATCAGAACCGACTGTAGGAGGGATACAGGTACAATCCTCCTCCTCCCTCCTCGATAATCCCCAGGGCGCGCGTGGTAGTGCAAACGTGTGCTTGTCCGCCAGAGCGCTTCAATGCGACGCAGGCGGCGTGACGAGGGCCGATGCAAGCTGCGCGCCATCGGTGGAGCTGAGCGGGGTAACACACAATCGGCTGACACACATCCTGAGGATCCTCGACAATCCCCCTCGCTACAACGACGAGCACGACGATGAGACCCATCACCACCACCACGAGCACGACGACGACGACGACGACGAGCACGGCGGCGAGCATGACGACCACGACCACGACGACAAGGCGCCTCGGTGGAGACACCGTCCTCTGGCGGAGCCGGGGCCGAGCTCGAGGCTGAAGGGTCGCCGGCACCCATCGCCTGGCCAGCGACACGGCCCGGTGAACTCGCAGGTTTGGCAGGTTTCGCACACGAGACATGTCGTGCAAGCACAGCATGCCCAAAAGAAAGTGCGAAGAATGCGGCCCTCTGTTCTTCAAGCTGCGCGAGGGTGACACGTCGCACCAGTCCCCCCCCTCCGCGTGTCGCCCCCTATCGCCACTGGCGTCGTCGTTCGCTCCACCGCCTCGGGCAGGCTGGCACTATCGAGCTATAAGTTCATTGCCGCGGGTAGCAGGTGAAGGAGGACCAAGGGGGGACCAAGTACCCATCGGTCGGAAGAAGTGGGTAGACACATGAAGTAGGAAGGCGTAGATTAGGTGTCCGCCCGCCCCCTGAAGGGGACGGGGAAAGGTGAAACCACTCGATCGTTGAAGTGGGAAGGCGCTTAAAACAGATTGGGATCCCGGACTCCAAAAATACCTACCCTCAACGACCGATGGGTATGGGGAGGAAGGGGAACCGAGGGGCAAGAGAGCCCTCCCAGCTGCTGGCTTCGGCGCGGCCGTCGGGCCTCTGACCCTTGTTGGTAGCTGCAAGCCGCCGCCGTCGTGACAGCACTGTGGTCACAGCGCCAGCTCTGTTCCACTGGTGATCTCTTGGACTGCCTTACCTGCTCTGCTGGAACGCTCCTCTCTCCAGTGGGAAGGGCGTGGCAGGAGGAACGGGAGACGGCCAAAAGGGGCCGACTCCTGACACCCGCTGCTGCACCCCTCCGCTCAACCACAACCCTCGCTAGGCTGGACAGCCCGAGGAGAGGGAAACCTGCGTGCTCGCAGAGACTGGCCAACACAATCACTGGCCAGATCCTGTCGTACTCTGCTGCTTTATTGATTGCTCCTGTTGCACTCTGCTGCTTCATCGTATTCGCTGGAAATGGACATAGAGAAAGACAGCACATTGAACGGATGCTTGAACACAGGCCTCAGCACTACGACAACAGTGGTTTTCATCCAGACCCCCACAGCAACACCCCTCGCTCACATACGACCCTCGCTAGGTTAGATAGCTCTAGGAGAGGAACCTGTGCAGACTGGCACAGTTAGACTGGCCTCCGCAAAAACTGCCAGATCCCGTCGTACTCCGCTGCTTTGTTGATGGCTCATGCGTTACTCTGTTGCTTGATCGTAGCCCGCTGGAAAAAGAAAGCTCTGGAGACAGCCTGCAATGTCAACGAATGCTTGGACACAAGCCACAACGGGACGGCAAGAGTGGTGTCAATCATGGCTCGGGTGCCTGCTGCTTGATGGCTGCTAAATGCTCTTAGCGGGCTGCGCACCTGAAGCAACGACATCGCAAGTCACCCAAATTGCAGCCACCTCGAACCAGCCTTCGGCTGCTGAACGATAGATCCGATCCGCACGCCGCACGCTGACTGGTTGCGCGAGGAGGGGTGTGGGGAGAGCGACACATGAGGGGTATGTGAATGTTGGTGTCAAGGTCTGCCGAAACGCCTGTGGCGAGCCTAGTGGCGCTCCCATGCGCATCCACTGCATTCGACACCGCTTCCGAAGCGGCGCTTCCTGACACAGGCTTGGCTCTCCTCCTCATCTCATTTCCCAGCTGCCCTGACATGGGCGCCGCTGATTGCTTTTTTTGGCCCTGCCCAGGATGGGTCTCACCACGACAGGGGTCGCTGAGGCGACCGCTTGCCTACCATCCCCCGCGGCCCTCCGGCGAGCGGTGCTGAGCCTGGCGGTGGTGACGGCTCCTCGGCACATTCGTGCCGAACGAAACCCGAGGAAAAGAACACTCCCCCCTCACTCCTCTCTTCGTTCCCTCCTCCCTCAAGTGTGAGGCCGTGCCTGGCTGCACCAAGGGCACGCGACGGCCTCCCAAAGCGTAATAAACCGATCCTGCCTGGCGGCGCGGTCCGCCATAACGAAGCGCGCATCGCCCTCCGGGCGGGCTGCCTGCCTCGAAGGCGGCAGGCGACCCGCCGCGGCAAGGCGACTGCCCTGACCCAAGCAGGCGCGCCGCCGCGCCGCCGCGCCGCCGAGGGACTCCCCCGTGCGCGCGCGCGGCGGCAGCGGCAGCGGGCAGCGGCTGCGCTGGCGCCGCGGCCGCGCCGCTCGCAACCCCGGGGCCCCGGGGGCGCTGGGCGGCCTCGAGCCGCGCCATCTCGAACAAAAACAGCAACATACACTGTCATACACCAACACAAAACATAACAACGCACACCCGCACAGAACTCAGGGCGCAGTCTCAAGAACGCCCACACACAAAAACAACAGCACGAAGAGCTGGGAGAAAAAGGGGGGGGAGGTGGCGCCAGAAGGAAGGTCAGGAGCCCCGAGTGGGGGGGCCCACGAATACCGGCGGCGAGTGCGGTCAGCGAAACTTGAAGTCGACCCGCTGGCCAGAGACCGTCTGCAGGGCGAACGAGATCGCGAGCACCAGAGCCACGAGCGAGCCCACGACGTAGGGGCCCTGGGCAAGGTACAGGCGCATGCTCCTGTCCTTCCCGACCGCCGTGCGGCCCGTGATGCGCGCCAGGCGATCCTGGTACACGACGAGGCACCAGATGAGGTAGGCCACCGAGGCGACCACGAGCGAGCCTCCCAGGCACCTGTACGTGGCCGAGTCCTGCTTCAGAAGGACCACGCCCAGGACGGACGAGTAGATGCCCTTCTCGACGTAGTGGAGCAGGGTGCGCTCGTTGGCGAACACGGCCTTCGGATCGAGGTTCTGCATGTCCTTCAGCAGGTGTCCTTCACCCCCGGGCGCCGGGGTGGCCGTCCTCATCTTGGGAACCGTCAGGTCGTCGTACGACTCCTTGCTGCTGCTGAGCCAGGACCGCGCCTGCGAAACGGTGCGCCGCTGGGAGACGTTGCGCTGCTCCTCCATGCGCTTCTCGTGCCAGACCAGGAAGTCCTGGTGCCAGTGCGGCAGGATCGGGACCCGCTGGGGGTGCAGGAACGCCATGGCGTGCTGGAACTTCGAGAACTTGTGCACCTGGATCGCCTCGATGTCCGCCAGCGTCTGGCGCAGCCACGGCGGCGTCTCCGGCGTGCCAGTCAGCTTGACCTCGAGGATGGCAAAAGGGAACCGGTAGACCTTGTCCTTGGTCAGGTACTCGGAGCCCTGCAGGCACCAGGGCTCGACTGGGTGCCCCTCCTCGCGGTACTCGTTGAGCAGCGTCATCTGCGTGTCGAGCGAGATGCGCACCTCGTTGCTCGTCGAAAGCTGGAACGCGGAGCGGTAGTAGGACGTCCGGATCATGGGCTGGAGCTTCCTCTCCTGGATCATCGTGTTCACCTCGTTGGCGATGCCCTTCATGTTCTTCAGGGCCTTGTCCGAGGCGGCGCCTTCGGCCTTCAGCCGCGCGAAGTACTCCTCGATGGGAAACCTGCCCTTCATGAACTCGAAGATGTCCTTCTGCGGGACGATACAGCGCTCCTTCGCAGAGCTCGCGCCGGAGAAACCCTCGTGATGGATCTTCCTCTCGACGTAGATCTCCTTGTCCGGCTCCCAGTTGTTCTCGCCGTACCACCGGAAGCGCACCAGGCGCGCACCCTCCTCGCGGCGGATGCGCTCCCGGTAGGACGACGCGTCTGGGCTGTCGAAGTAGACCGAGTTGAGGATCTGCGCCTCTCGGCTACACGCAAGAGTGACCCTGGGCAAAAGTGCCCTTTAGTGATCGGACTGTGGGGGCTGCAAGTGGCCAAATCCAAGCGCGCAAGCAGCCACTCTCGCACCGCGCTATGCGATCGGGGGGGCCGCGATGAGCCCGCACCAAAGGTCACTCTGGCGAAGGGTCACTCCTACATGTAGTCGAGCCTCCTCCATATTGCCAGAGTACGCGTTCGCGGCGGACTGACGCTCGAAGCCCTCGTACTCGAGGTCGAGCAGCGCGAAGGGGTCGAGGAGCTTCTCCTGCTCCTTCTCGCTGGCGCCGAAGATGAGGTAGGGCAGGTGCTTCACGATGCGGCTCTTCAGCAGCACGACCTTGTCCGGGTGCACCCAATACTTCGCGGTGTTGCGGATGAAGCTCTCCGGAGGCTTCCACGTGGCGTCCTTGCTCTGCTCCGCCATCTGCGAGCTGCGCCAGCGGGCCCAGGCGAGGCCGAGCAGGATGCAGATGTCGTCGAAGCGGACGTTGCAGAACGGCTCGTAGTGCAGGCCGGCCACGAAGAGCGCGCTGCCGCTGACGCCGAGGCACGAGTCGAACTTCTGCGTGAGCTTCTGAAAGGCCTGGTAGTTCAGCCTCACGAACGTGTCCAGGTGACAGATCTCCTCGCCGAGCTGCTCGATGCGGCTGGCCGTCGCCTCCAGATCCTCTGGCTTGATGCGCTTGCAGTCCTCTCGGGCCGGGCGAAAGGGGGGGATAGCAAGGGGGGGGTGAGAATCAGCTCAAGCAGCTGCTTTTCCAGGCGCCGGGAGGCGCCCGTGTATCAAGGAATGGGCTCCTCGGTGGGGCCGAAACCAGCTGCATTTGGCGGCGCGTGAAAGGGGGTAGGGGGAGGGGGGAAGGCTTGTTTTAGAAGCACCCTGCTTCTTAGAAGGCCTCGGCCTTACGTCTATAGAGAAGGCCCGCGCCTTCTAAGAAGCACGGGTGCTTCTAAGAAGCCTTCCCCCCTCCCCCTACCCCCCTCTGCGCGTTGCCGATGTATGCAGCAAATTTCGTACCCCCCCCTTTCCCCATCCCCACCCTTCCGTCCGGCCCGCTCCTCGCAGCACCGGCGGAGGTCGAGGAAGAGCGACTCGTGCTTCACGCAGGCGAACTGGTTGACCTTGCTCAGCTCCGCCTGCAGCATCTCCTGGAACCGGCCCACCGGCCTGCCGCCGAGGTCCATGAGCTCGGCGGAGATGAACTGGCTCCGCGGCGGCGAGGCGTCCTCTGGCCATCGCTCGGACGTCCATTCCCTGTGTTTTTTTCCGGTTTCGTGCGTGGCTTCTTCGCCAAATGATCAAGGATGCTCCTCGATGGTCCTCGCCGGAGGAAAAAATGCACACGCCCGAGCGATGCCAAGTCCTCTGCCAGCTCCAGCACGAGGCTCTTGAGCTGGGCATAGTTCAGGTAGTACTGCTTGTACCTGTTCGGGGCGCGCGAGTCGATGAGCTCGGTGATGCCCATGGTCCGGCCGAGCGCGCGCGCTGCAGCACAAATCGGCCCCTGGCCCTGGCCTCGCTCCGCGCGCAGCTGCCGACCCAGCTTGGCTTGAGCCACAAATGACTGCGGACGCCTGGTGAACTCCTCCTCCTCCTCCCCCTCCTGCTCCTCGTCCCCCTCCCCCGCCTCCTCCTTCTGGACCTCTTCAGTGAAGCTCCGATGCAATCAGCCGGCCTCGTGACTCCGAAGGAGAACCCATACGGAATCTCCCAAAATCGTCCGTCTCACAAGGCCTCCCACGTCAACAAGTCTACACCCAGGACCCAACCCGTGCTTCACACGAGCATTCGAGCTGACCCATGCTGAGTTAGCATAGTACAACGAGGCGCGAACGATCAAGTGCAAGCAGCGGCACACCGCGCACGCCTGCATTCAAGATCGGTGGTGCACGAAAGCGCGGGAGCCTGGATTTGACGGCCACACCGCTAAGTATGTCTCGAGTCACAAGCGTTGGCGATGCACACGATAAGCCGTGTGCGGTCGTCAGGCTGGTGCGACTCGCGACTTTCTCTCGCGTTGCCCCATCGTTAGCGGGTAATCTCTCGGAATCCTTGTCTTTCAATGTCAACATGGCGCACGGTGTCCAGGCACACAATTGCTGGCAAAAGAAAGCATTTGAGCTTTGCAGCGATGCAGCTCGAGCAGCACATTGCCACAGCTTGTGCGAAGAAACATACAGACGTGGTATCTGACCCTTTCCCCAATCCCCGAGAATCAGACACCAAGAAACGGTCACTCTGCGCGCCCGTCTCTTGATATTGCGGAGCGTCTTCCAAGATGAGCGAACTGTTCCGATGGATCCCCGTGGCCGGCTCCCGGAAATTAAAGGCCCCCAGGCCAAACATCATCGAAAGACAGCCCCGAACAGCCCGAGACTGGCCCGCCATGGCCCTGACCTGTGTCTATATCTATATATATATATATGTATAGGAGGTGCCCGCTTCCATCCGACGTGTTGGTCATCTTTGCCTGCCAGACATGTCGGTAGTCTCTCAACCCGAGGATGGACCTCGTCCGCGTGCTTGATGTCCTTCTCCCGCAGCGACGCCGCAGGATAATGGCGACGATGCGGCCAGAGGTGGAGCCAATGTCACACGAAAAAAACTCTGATAAACACAAACTTTTGGCGCTCCGCGCGGATTTCTGGGATCTGCGCTGCGCCGCCAGCGCAGCCCCCTGGCGGCGCCGACCCACCTGGCGGCGCCGCCGGCGCCGCCCCTGGCGCGCTTCGTGCGCCAGGAAGAGGGGGCGGTCCAGCGCAGATTCAAGAAACTACGCGCGGAGCGCCAAACGTTTGTGTTATTTTCCAATCAGCGCTTGCACTGAAGGGGTCCTAGCGGAAATTGAAAGATTTGGCGAAAGTGTCCCGCCGATTTTGGTGGCCGGCTGGGTTCCCAGGTTCCCGGTGCCAAATTCCCGGGTCCCTGGCTCTTGGTTCCGGGCCGATGTCGGTGGGTTCTGGGTTCCCGGGTTCCTGGTCGATCCCCTTATCGATCAAACCATCCACGGATTGGGGTTTTTCTCTGGTTCTTTTTTTCTTAACTTCTTGCATTACGTCGGGCCTGTCCCCCTCTACAGGAGGAGTCTTCAAAAATACTCAAAAAATAGCCCCGGGACCCTTTTTGGGGCATTTTTGTAAGAACATGTTCGAGTATGCTTGGGGTATCGACTGGTTGGGGCTTCTCGCTGGCGTCATGCCCGTGTCTGCGCTTCTTCGACATGCCGGTGAAGCTCCCCGTGGGGCGCGTGCGCACGGCGGACCGCCGCCGTGGCACGCGGCTCGTGCTCGTGGCGCCCTGCCGCCCGCGGGCCCAGGGTTGAGTCGGGCCTGTCCCCCCAAGAGGCCGATTTTGGATGAGAATTTACAAACACCACAACAAAAATCTTAAAATGTTCAAAAATGATCCAAAAATAGTCCCCAGACTATTTTTGGACTATTTTTGAACATCCCCCCTTTAGAGGGACAGGCCCGACGAGTACTTACTTACAACCGCTTGAAGTCTTCACTTCTGAATACTACTTTAGAAAGAAGGGAGTCTTCACTTCCTCCCTTCCTTGGTTGCCGCCGAAGTGCACCGTACCTTGTCGTCGATGGCAATAGAAGGGAACGGGCAATGGCAGAAACATAACAACTCGGAGGTCCGCGCGGATTTCTCGGATGCGCGCTGGGGCCCCCTCCCTGGCGCGCGGAGCGGGACAGGATGCGGCTCTCACTTGAGACTTCGTTCGATTGCATGGCCAGGACTCCAAGCTTGTGCAACAGTCAGGCGGATGAGAGGGCAGTTCCTTTTCAAAGCAGGGGTGTCGCTTGGCCCACCTTGTCGCGTCCTCAAGCTCGAATGATGGAGGGCGATTTCTTTCAAAACGGTGGGCTCATGCGGCGCTCGCCTTGCAAGGGGGACGCTTCACGCAACAAAGCAAACTGCTGAAGGCACTCATGAGGAGGGGACATAGGACGGAAACGTGTACTGCAACATCGATGATGCGTAAATCGAAGGAGGAGGAGGGGGATGAGGAGGAGGAGGAGGAGGCGGAGGAGGAGGAAGAAGAAGAGGATCAGCAGGAGGGTGGATTGCTCTGGTCCCCCTCGCCCCCCTCGCCCAGGCCTCCTCCGACGACGGGGACCACGGGGGGAACGGGGGGCACGACGACGACCATGGCGAGGGGACCGACGACGGCGACGGCGACCACCAGGATGAGGACGGCGGCGAGGGCGACGACGGCGGCGAGGCCGACGACGGCGGCGAGGACGACGGCAGCGACCACGAGGACGCGGACAGCGACGAGGCCGACGACGGCGGCGAGGAAGGCATGCGCACGCGAGCCCGCGGGAGCGCCCGCGGCCTGCTCGTCCGACCACCAGAGGCGCAGCGCCCCCTCCCAGGCCGCCAGGTGCTCCTGAGGGCCACGGAGGACGACGACGGCGGCGAGGCGGGCGACGACGGCGGCGAGGAGGGCGACTGGCACGAGCACGAGCACGGCGGCGAGGGCGGGAACGAGGACGTCCGGGCCACGCGACGGCGGCGGCGACGACGAGGGGCACGAGTGGAAGGGCGACGGGTACGAGGACAAGGGCAAGCACGACGATGCCAGGCAAGGACGAGCGCGGCGACGAACATGACGACGAGGACAGATTTCCTTCCTCGGCTTCAGGCGGCACAGTTAAGCAACCAGCGATGCAAACCCGCTGCTAGCCATGTGAAAAACATGCTGCCGAGTGCTACCCACACAACGAGCATACGCGGGTCACCTCGTGAGAACGAGGATGAAGACGACGACGGAGACGACATCGCCGACGCTGAAACCAGGTACGCACCCATGGGAGCCCAATGAAGCGAGCGCCGGGAAAGGGAACGTGAGGACCCGCGGCAAGACTGGATGACGCCACGAACAAGCATCACAATGGACTTCTCCCTTGCAACTTCTGCGCCTCTGCGTCCAGGGCCTCGCCTCGGACCTGGGCCCAATGCAAACAAGCACACCACGACGAGCAAGCGGATCCAAGGGGCTCTAGAACTCCAGGGCCACGTCGTGCAGAAGCCACGCCCTCATTACAGCACGAGCTCGACCAGCAGAGGCCTTCCACGAGAGACCCAGCCCGGAGACCCCAGGGCATCCGTTGATCCTGGAGTGTGGTAGCGTCGTGCGTTCCATCGCAGAACCACCGAGACCCACGACGCCCAGGGCACCCTTGGGGGCAAGCATCAGGTCGGGCCTGTCCCCCTACAGGCGGATGCGGGACGAAAACCAAGAAATGCCCCCCAAAATCCAGCAAAGCACAAAAAAGATCCTCAAAAAAAATCGTCCCCAGACTACTTTGGGACTATTCTCGAATACATCCCTCCTGTGGAGGGACGCGCCCGACGGAAGGCAAGCAGGGTGCTCTGCTTGGTATGGGCCTCCGCTGCAAGAGTTCCGAGACGGTGCCTGCGCCACGGCCGACGCAGCGGGCGGCTCGCGCAAGCCCGACGCCGGCTCGCACGCGCACGTGCCCTCCCGCGTGCTGTCAGGTCCTCTCCTTCTCTCCGAAGCGCCGCGCGCTCGCCTCCTCCTATCCTCCTCCTCCTCCTCCTCTTCCTCCTCCTCCTCCTCCTCCTTCACGTCTTCCGCCTCCTCCTCCTCCTCCTCCTCCTCCTCGGCCTCCACCTCCTCCTCGGGCTGGAAAGAGAACTGTCGTGCGTGCCACTGACGGCTGAATCCCTGGACACCACTCCTCCCGGCCTTCTGCTGGGGGGGGAGGGTGGAAGACAGCCGAGAGGCAAAGCAGAACGGCCGATCGGCGAGGAAGACCGAGCCTGCAAGAGGCAAGGCAGGTGAGACGCGGCTGCGGGCGCCCCCGCTGTGCGCCTCCTCTGGTCTCCGGCTCCTCCCCCTCCTCCTGCCTGCCCGCCCGCCCGCCCGCCTGCCTGCCCGCCTGCCTGCCCGCCCGCCTGCCTGCCTGCTGCAGCTGCCCGCCCGCCCGCTTCTGCACACCCCACCGACCGTGCCCCACGAGGACTCCCTCCACGGATCCCGTCGAGGGGACTCGCATCGCGTGTGTTAAGATGGTTGGAGGAGCACCATGCGAACGCGCCCGAAGGGGCCGTCCTCCCTCCCTCCCTCCCTCCCTCCCTCCCTCCCTCCCTCGTGGGTTGAGGGGGGACGTCAGGAGGAGCCAGCTCGGGGGGGGAAACGTCGAGCTGGAGAGAGGCGACACAAAGGCGCACAGATCGGAGAGAGGCCCCCGAGAGCGAAACTCCAGCCGTTCCTCTGCGTGGGTTGGGCTGTCGGCCCCCCTATCTCGGCGAGGAGTGGCCGATTGGGGGTCGACGAATCCCACATGAGGCGAACGCGGCCCCTGCTAGACTGAGTGCCTTACAAATTCTGGGCCCCCAGACTGCCAGGGCCCCACGGAACACCAGGAGGGCCCCTCCCCCGGACTACAAGGCCCCCCCCCCCCGACTACACAGGGACCCCTCCCCCGGACTATCAGGAGCCCCCCCCCCCCCGGACTACAAGGGCCCGCCCAAGGGACTACAGGGACCCACACCCGGACTGCAAGGCCCCCCCCCCGGACTACAGTCACCCGCAGGAGGTGCTACGTCTACGGGTTGCCAGTGACGGATGTCGGGGCTGTTGTCTCGGAAAAGGGCTCCTCGCACGCGCGCGCGCTGCAGCAGCAAAATCGGGGTGTGGCTTGCCGACGGGATTGCGCGCTTGCGCAAAGCGCATTGTCTTCGTTGCCCTCCTCCTCCCCTTCCCCCCCAGACTTCAAGGGCACCCCCCGGACCAAAAAGCCCCCCCCCCCCCCAGACACTCCTCCCCCGGAACCGCACCCTGGACTACAGGCCCCCCCCCCGGACTACAGGCCGCCCCCCCCGGACTACTGGTCACCCGAAAAATGTTGAAGTACTCAGTTGGTGCTCCCCGTGGGATACGATCCAAGACCACGCTAACGGCGATGTTTGTTAACGGTGATGCTAGGAACCACACTGTGGAAAATCACGAACCACACTTTCCTACATGTACAATATGCAAATGTATCGAACGAACACGACAAAGCTCACCGAGGACAATCCTTTGGAGCCACTATGGCCCCCCAAATAGCCGCCGAATTCCAGAGGAGTTGCGCGGCAATTTTTTCTCGTTTGAAAGCATGCAGTGCTGGGCGCGTAGGCCAGCCTGCAATGCCCCCTGACGAGCATCCATGTTGAATCAAACACTACCGCGGCCGTCGCCATCATCACCGCCAAAACCACAAGATAACACATGTTACACTCATCGTCGGGCTGAGGTCAGGTCAGCCTGCGTCGCCGCACATCGACTCTTTGCCGCAGCTGAATGCTGCGAGCTCCCAGCTGCATTCGTCAGCAGCTGTCAAAAGCAAAACCGCCGAAATGGTCATTGAAAGGGCCGCCAGGAGGGCCGCCGAAAGGGCAGCCGAAATCGTCGCCGAAATCGCCGCCGAAATTGCCGCCAAAATTGCCGCCGAAATCGCCGCCGAAATTGCCGCCGAAATTGCCGCCGAACTTTCCGCCGAACTTGCCGCCGAACTCACCGCCGAAATTGCCGCCGAAATAGTTGCGAACTCCGCCAAAATAGCCGCCGGAATTCAGCCGCCGAAATCGCCGCCGAAATTCAGCCGCCGAAATTTTCACTGCCCCGTCGCAAGCGAAATCGCTGTTCCAGTAAGCACGATGACGCCGCAGACACAGGCATAGAGTCACAGCCAACGTCAAATTCGGCCTCTTTTCGGCGGAGCCATCTGGAATTTCGGCGGACATTTCGGCGGCAATTTCGGCGGCAATTTCGGCGGCAATTTCGGCGGCGATTTCGGTGGCAATTTCGGCGGCAATTTCGGCGGCAATTCCGGCGGCCCTTCCGACGGCTGTTTCGGCGGCCCCTTCGGCGGCAATCTCGGCGGCCCTTTCGACGGCTCTATCGGCGGCCATTTCGGCGACGTTGCTTTTGCCAGCAGTCGACCATGGTTGCCGGGAACTCTCGGCACTCGGCAACCCCAGCGGGCCCTGAGAGGGCCCTCGAAACCCCTCGCCAGAAAGCGTCTGCGAAGTAGCTCAAGCCATGCGTGATTTGCACGCGATAGCATGCGCAACGTGCTAAACGAATGCCTTGCATTATGCGTCAGCGCGCTCTAAGGTGCGCCTGGAAACCACCGCGCGGCAGGGCGCGCCTGCACACTGAAACTCTAGGAAAAACCTCGATTTCGTCTGGAATGGATTTCGGCGCGCGACCCTTTTCGTCTCCAAAGAAAGAGCCACTATGACAAAGCGAATTGCAGGAAAGCGCGAGCCACGCGTTCCCACAACACCGAAACATTCATCGCCGTTGCTTCCATTACCGTTAACGTACCTACGGGCACTCCACGTTATGGGGTGCGCGGCCAGACCTAGGACGGAAAAGCACCCTTCAACAGTCGAGGCTGCCCTCTCCCAGGGATTTCGCACAAGAGCGTCCGACAAGCACGAGACACACGAGGGCGCCCTCCCCGAGCAGACCTCGATCTAACACACCTCGGTCCGACCGTGCTGGGATAGGACATACAGCGGCAAAGCACCAGCAACAGCGGCAGCGCAGCAGCAGGCAGGAGGGGGACGAGCAGGGCGAGGAGGTGGTGCGCGGCGCCGTGGAGAGGAAGCGATGACCCAACCATTAAGGATGGCAGCGACAACGCCAACAACGAGCCATTTTAAGACTGCTCGCTCTTATACGTTCGAGTGTCATTCAGCGTGTATTCCCACCCAGACCCTCGATACCCACCCTCTTCGTCTTCGATCGTTCCTCTTTTCGGGGGTCGATTATTCTTCCCTGTAGGCCGGGCCCTGACAAGCGGCGGGGCGGCCGGACCGTCGGCCTGGCCAGCGGCAGCGCTGATCGGCGGCAACCCGACCCCAAGAGAGTCGGACATGGGAACGACCACGACGACGACGACGCCGACGGCGACAACGACGACGACGACGAGCGAAAGCGAGAGCGACAGCGGGGCCACGAAGGGCATGCGTATGGGGCCACGAAAGGTGCGAACGACAGGTGGCCACGAAGGGCAGATGATGCGGGGCCACAGAGGGCAACGACGGGGCCACTGAAGGCAGCAACGGGGCCACGCAGGAAAGCAGCGAGGGGCCACAAAGGACGACAGCGGGGCCACGAAAGGCATGCATATGGGGCCACGGCGGGCTCCAACGAGCGGGGGCCACGGAGAGCACACGTATATTGGGCCGCAAAGGGCAAGGACGGGGCCACTGAGGGCAGCAACGGCGCCACGAAGGGCAGCGATGGGGGCCACGAGGGGCGACAGCGGGGCCACGAAGCGCATGCATATGGGGCCACGACGGGCGCGAACGAGCGGGGGCCACGAAGGACATACATACATGGGGCCACGAAGGGCAGCGAGGGGGCCACGAAGGGCTGCAACAGGGCCACGAAGGGCAGCGAGGGGGCCATGAAGGTGTGCAACGGGGCCACGAAGGGCAGCGAGGGGGCCAAGAAAGGCTGCAACGGGGCCACGAAGGGCAGCGAGGGGCCACAAAGGGCTGCAGCGGGTCCACGAAGGGCAGCAAAGGGGCCACGAGGGGCTGCAACGGGGCCGCGAAGGGCAGCGAAGCGGCCACGAGGGTGTGCAACTGGGCCACGAAGGGCAGCGAGGGGGCCACGAAGGGCTGCAACGGGTCCACGAAGGGCAGCGAGGGGGCCAAAAAAGGCTGCAACGGGGCCACGAAGGGCAGCGAGGGGGCCACGAAGGGCTGCAGCGGGTCCACGAAGGGCAGCGAGGGGGCCACGAAGGGCTGCAGCGGGTCCACGAAAGGCAGCGAGATCCCGTTGCCTGAGTAAGCTGTGAGGGAGTCATAAGCGTGAGCGCGACTCCTGTGTGCCTGAATGTCGGGAGCGCGGCGCTTGAGCAAATTGCGGGGGTGTCTACAGCAAGAACCGTATTCTTGAGGAAATTGCAAGCGAATCACCAGCGAGAGTACGATTCCAGAGCGCCGAGAAAACGATTCCTAAACAAATTGTCAGGACGTTCCAAGCGAGAGCGCGACTCCTTAGTAGAATGCGAGGATGTCTCAGGCGGGAGCGGGGGCCCTGGCGAAATTGAGAGGAAGTCTCAGGCGGGGGCCGCTGTTGTTGTAACCCGGGGGCCAAGGGCACAGTTTGAGCCGAATGACTTCCTTTAACAAACAACAAGGTACGAACCCCGGGGGGGGCACTTCAATCCCACCAGCCCTTTTGGGCGCAGGTGGTTTAACGATATGTTTCTTCCCTTTTCCCCAACCCCCTCTTCCCCTTCGGGGAGGGGGTTTATCACTGTTCCCTATTCATACACACACACCCTCCCCCAGGCGACTGGGAGCCAACCCGAGTCAATGAGGGCCCCCCTACCATACCTTGTAAAAAACAATACAAAACACACTCTGCCTACAAATTCGGAGCATGCGCAGCGAACCCGATGCGGCCTCCTCCCACCATCCCTGTCAAAAAAAAACAATACAGAATACACTTCGCGGCGGCGGCGGCGGCGGCGGCTGCGGCGGGGGCAGCGGCTGCGGAGGCTGCGGCGGTGGCGGCGGCGGCGGCGGCGGCGGCGGGGGCGGGGGCGGCGGCAGCTGCGGCGGGGGCGGTGGCGGCGGCGGCGGCGGCAGCGGTGGCGGCAGCGGCTGCGGCTGCAGCGGCTGCG